ATAATACAGTAATTCTATCACATATTCTCTATAATATTAGGAATATTCCTATATTTATGATTAATTTATAAAAATACTACTCAAAAATAAGTATATTAATCTCTCTCTCTCTCATAATATTAATAAACTTTCTTTTAATTTAATAATCATTGGTATTTTCTTGTTGTAATTAACGAATGAATTCAATAAAATGTATGTATTGTTTGCTTCGTTATAAATAGCGGACGAGATATGGATAATAAATAATAACGATATTATGAATACGATAATTGTGAACAAAATAGTGCTTTTCATTAGAAATATAATTTTACTAAAAATAATAGCATTTAAATAAAAACTAATAAAAATACTAAATATTATCCAAAAGAGAAATAAATATTTTCGACCCATAATTTCTATTATATTCATTGATTTCAACATAAATTGCATTCAATTCCCGAACAGTTATTGAAATGAATGCAAAGTTTATCATAAAATTAGATGAATTTTGCATTCGTTTACGGATTTGATGATTGATTGCTTGGATTTTAGATTTTAAATAGTAAGTGATTATAAAATAATAAAATGTTTGATAAAACAAAATATTAAAAACATATAAAGCACACAATGCATTGAACGCTGCAAAGTTATTAATGTCTGTGATTTTGAATTTTAAACAAAATATGAGCATGGTTAAAGTTTTGATTATTTTTAATAATATTTGAAACAAGTAATACTTCGTATCCACGAAATTTAATAAATTAAATAAAATCCATTTAACCATTTAGTTTCATTATTTTGTGTAAAATAAAAATTAAATATTTAAACTACCCTAAATGAGATTAAATTAAATTTAAAATTATTGTTATATTGAAATTCTATTGAATGTGAATTACAATTAACTTATTAACAAATGTAAGGCCAGAATAGCATTAGTTTAGTGCCAGACATAAGAATCTGCAGCAAAAGATGGCAATCAATGCCAAAACCACTTAATTTGGTTCCACTTCTGATGCAAAGAATTGCGCGAAAATTCTGTGTCACAGAAAAAAGCGATGTTTTCAGTCATTTTGAATGCGATCTCTCTGTCAGACAATAGCTGTCTTCAGACACACAGGGCTTATGAGACGGCAACAGGCGATTAGGCATTGAATCCAATGGTATTCATTGTATTTAGTTTCACATTTAAAGCCAATTGTCTGTAAATTGTGACCAAAATTGATTTCATAAAGAATATTGTCATGAATTCTATGGCGTCGGCCAATAGGGCCAAGTTCTCCATCAAAAGTTATTCCGTTGAGGTAAGTTTTGCGGTATTCATAGTATACACCTGTAATGACCTAATTTATAATGGTACACTTTCATTATTATTAATTTAACTTTGCTAATTAAATAAAAATTACATATTGCTATTAAACTTTGAAATAATTCATGTTTTTATTAGTTATTTTAACATAAATTTATTATGATAATTATACGGTATTTTATTAATATTATGAGAGAGATGGAGATTAATATACTTATTTTTGAGTA